GTCCTTAAATTTTCCCAAAGGCCAAGGAAAAGGGAAAAAGAGCCAACAGAGGAACCAGGTATGCTGCTATTGAACAGCAACCTGCTATTTTAATCAAGTAAACTGCCTATTAACTGGAAGTTAATTAGAGCCCTGGGATAAAGCATCAAAGTGATCCAGGGGCCTGAAGACACGTGTTGTTACAGCACCTGGTGCATGGAGATGCTGATGGCATTATCAGTGCTCCTCTGCAGCAGCCAGTCAAGCCACATGTATAGGGGTGCAAAGCCTCCCTGTTAACAGTGCTCCCTAAGGAACTCAAATCCTTGAAGAAAGAAATAAAATGAAAAAAAAATTGTCCTAAATCTTAATAGAAAACAGCTATATGGTCCACTTTTAAAACATAATGAAAAATGAAGAGAATCATATAAAATCCTACAAATGGCTCAGAAAAGAGAGTGCCTGTGAGCTGTGTCCTTGGCCAATACTTACGATGAAGATCTCACCAGCTGTCACACACATACCAAAGTTGATCTCTCCATCAACAAGCAAACCCTGCACCAGCCCACTTCCCTCCCCTGGGCAGAGCATCCTGTCCTGCTGGAGCCACGGCCATCTTTCCCATGGGAATGCTGCAGTGGGACATGCCCCACCACTGCTCTCCAGCAGACACCACCAGCCCCCACGCCTGTCCCAGCTCCAGCTACGCTCTCAGCCAAGTCAGACAGCAAAACAGGTTTTTCCCTCTGCATTTGCACAGATGGTACCCAGAGCATGAAAATGACTTTTCCTCTTTGGAGACCTTGACTGCTTCACAATCCCTAAAGACCCTGTCATGTAAACATGTAAAAGAGCTTATTTAGATGGAGAAAGACAGAGTCACCACAGGACCTCAGGGAGATATATATTCCCTAACTGTGAGCACTGGGGGTTGTATTTTTTTTATGGGAAGTGATCAAAAATTGTTAACGAGTCACCAAGATGTGCTTTGCCCTGGGGTACTGATGGGTTTTATTGAGCCATCTGGGCTTTACTGCAACACAAACAGCATTACCTACAACTGTTAAACAACATTATAAACATTAACAAAATACCACAGTGCTTGGATTTCAGGTGTCATCACACCTCCTGCTGCACAGCCCAGGCTTTCTGAAAGTTGGCCTGGGATTTAGAGGAAAGCACAGTGTCTTCTCTAAGCACCCAGCCCTCCTGAGCACTGAGCCTGCAGTCCCGCCTCAAATATCCTTTTATCTACTTGGAAATGACCTCAGGCAGCAGCTGATAGCCCTGCTGCTTGGGCCAAACTCCATCTTCCTTTCCCATGGAATAAAGAATAATTAACACCTTTGTTCACAGGTATACATAATTAGGAGAACATACTGTCTTTTAAAGCCTGTCTCTTTTCTCTAAAAGAGGTGAACCCAGGACTTGCTTGCACTCAAGCAGAAGATAGCACATGGGGGATGTGCATCAAGTTGTTAAAAAAACAAAAAGTGGGGAAAAATGCCACCCAGAAAAGTGCATTTCTTCACAGCACATATACAGCTGTGTTTGATGGAGTAGATGAAAACTGAACATCACCAGCTGTTGCCTTGCTCATCGTATTTCTTCTGTCAGGACATCAGACCTGTTATGAGTAGCAGTCACTTTCCTGGTTTTAGCATCTTTTGGCGAGAAGCTCTGAACAGACAACACTTCCAGCAGTGACTCTGACCCTGGACACCTCCTCCTGGACTGGGCAGCTCCATCTGAGCTCATCCCACACTATTTTAGGCACTGAACTGGGACAGGTGAGTTAGTAAGCATGTGAGGTAGAACCAGATGGGAAGGCAGACAGACGGCTCGTACAAGGTGTTCTGCACCAACGTGGAAGGAGAAGCATTTTTATCTGGAAAGGCCAATAATTTACAGTGCTGAATCCTAGTATGGCTAAGGATCAGGAAAGATCTAAGAACGAGCCAAATCCCTCCCAAATCTTGGCTAACAGAGAGCTCACCCTGTGTACCCCATCTTGGACTTACCCACTGCCCATCTCCTAGTCTGGCTATACTTCAACCCTGCACTCAGTCCAAAGTCCAGCTCTCCAGAGCACCACCAGGAAAGCAGGGAGCAGAATGATGCTTTACAGAAAACTGCCCATCCACAGTGTTTGCACACACAGCCCTTGCTACAGTCACAGCAAAGCAGTGCATAAATTCTTACTACAGTGCACTAAACCCAGACAGTTTGAGTCAAAATGCACAGGGGGAAAAAAAAACAAAGACACACACAGAGGGGAAAAACCCAGTTAATCTTACTTTGTCTCATGTCTTGCTTTGCAGCATGGTACCAGCCACACAGAGGGAGCCAGGAGCCTCGGCTGATAGGGCCTGGCACAGCTCCACTGCTTTCCAGCCAACGTAAAGACAGCTGCAAACTGGGTCCAAAACATGAAGCCACAAAAAAGTTTCCTTTAAATTATTGAAGATATACTCACTTCTGGCTCCCATGACTGCTTTTACAGCTCTCTCTCCAGCCAAAGCATCACCCACCCAGCAAGCAGATTATTTTCCTTTTCAACTGGACTTTGACTCAAGAGCAAATTTAATTAACTGACCTAATGGACTAGAGCTGTGGATTAAAAAAAAATTAAAAAATAAAAAAACAGCTCCCACAAAATACACAACAGAAAGAACCACTACTGCAGCCATAAAAACCTTAAGTAAAACCAAAAAATCTAGAGAACAAAATGTGGCTTATGCTCCTCCTTTGTCGAGAGGCACAACAATAAAAAGATCCTTACGTTGCAAGGTACAGCTTCTCCATGCTGCCAATCATTTGCTCTTTATTGGCTTTTAACAGAAGATCCCAATGCCCTTTACAAGCTTTTAAGCTATGCAATACCCTAACATGCCAAGAAGGCAGCTATATGGGGAATACCACCATCCCCATCTCAGAACTTCTGCCAAGCTGCACACTGATACTCATTTTATTAAAACCTCACAGAAGCACACAGGAAGAAACTGGTGCTGCGCTCCCTCTGTTGGGGACATGCTTCTACCAACATCCAGAGCATCTCCATCACTCAGGTCAACACTGAATGTGGCTCAGCATCTTTGCCACCACTCCGTTCCCTGAAGCAGCTCATCCCCATGACACCACAGGTGCCTGCGCAGGAGTCCCAGTTCAAAGGTCCCCACAAGACAGGCTCTCTGCTCCTCTAACAGGAGGCAATGCAGACACCAAACCAAGAGAAGACTGTACACACAGCAATGTGACCAACAGCTTCCCAGCTTTGGAGCTGCTGGTGACATTTCTGGCCTGGGATTATTTCCTGCAATGTTCAAAGCAAGCACCATCACTTAGAACATGAAGCACCACTTAAATGCTGCTGAAATCAGTCTGCTTTACATGTGATTATAAATCAGCTAACTTCTCACTGACTTATCTGAGAATACATCCATTCACACAGAAAAAAATCATCAGACATTTGCTCATTGATGCTGACTCCATCAGCCATGGCGAGGAGCAGCAAATTCCCCTCACCCTTTAGGCTGCACGGAGCTGCCGCTCTGCTTGCTTTTATTCTGCTCTTAGTAAAAGGGGAAAACAAAGCAGTGAGTATTTCATGCCTGCCATAAGATCACCTGATGGAAGCTTCCAAGAACAAATTCATCACTGCACATGCAAGGTACAGTCAGGGTGATCTGCATGCAAAGCAGTGACTAATTATAGACTTTTTGCCGAGGGAGTTTCTGAGCATGAAGGCCAAAATTTAAATTGCTGATCAGCATCACTTTTGTTATTATATGTTTGGAAACAAATTAATGGGTTGCAATTAGGCTCCTTGTACCAGCTTTGACACCTGCATCTGCCACGTAAGAAACAAAATATAAAAATACTTCAAAATATGTTCTTTCCGATGCACATTCCTTTCTTTTCATCAAAAGATGAAGAGTAATGGCTGAAAAGCTGAAAAAAACCAAAAGTGTTTGTGAAGCACGAGATCCCAGTGTGGCAGAAGAATGTTCCACCACCCAGCCCCTCTGCTCCTCTAGTGGGCAGGGAGGGCTGACCCTGTTCTTGATGATGCCCGAGATCCACAGCACGCATAGGCTGGGTAAAGTCTTGGTGTAGGAGGGAAACCCACCACTTCCTAGGGGTCCCTGCAGCCCTGACCAAGAACTCCATGCTATGGAACAGCAGAAAAGGCCACAGTGGCCTCAGATCAGCGCCACGATCGCTGTCTGGCCTGGGGATGAGAGCACAGCCAGGAACACATCCCTGTGCCCTGCTGCTCCTGCTCTGAGCGTAACACCCGCCTGCCAACTTGTGCTGGCTGTTCTCATGCCTAGAGAACAAAAACAGGAGATTCAGAAATTGTTTAAAATTAAGAAATCCCAGCCCAGCCAAACATCTCCAGTGCTGAGGATGCTCTCAAGACAGGTTAGCTCTGTGGCTCCTCCTGGCCCACAGCCTGTGTGGTCCATGTCTTGGTCTATCTCAGCTGTGCCACAACGGGCTTGGCACCGAGTGCCAGCCCTTTAAAAATCAAGGCATGAATAAACCTGCTTACAGAAGGTGACATCAGTGTCAGATACCTGTAGCTGTATCACCTCACCAGCATATTACCAGTGTTTCAAGTACCAGAAATTATCTTTGCCAGGGTTTGGGCTCTGAAATCGTTCAATACTTCCCACTCATTTTTTTAATTTTTGACTTTTTGCCCAAGCTGGGTGCCCACTGAGAGGTGCAATTAATGCCACCTCCTCCTCTGCACAAAAGCATTCCAAATGGCACCAATCAGGCACAGGACTGACCAGGTGGCTCCCAATCAGCTCCAGCCATCATGTTGCAATGCTGGGAACAGCTTCTGCAGAGGACAGTGCTAACGAAGCTTCCCTGGAGACTCACCAATGGTCACCTCTTGCAGGTGGTACTAGGACAGACACCATCCTGCACAGGCTCCTCTGCACACCCTCAACACCCTCACCTCAGAGTCAACTGTGGCTGTGTCAAGTCAGGAACACCACCTCATTTACCTGTGAACACTAGGCTGGCGTTCTCCAGTTCTTCCTGTGGAACCTTGAAGCTGAAGGACTCATTGTAAAAGGGATCTATTGTTCCCCGCATGCAGGAGGTCTTCTTGGTTTTTGTTAATTTTAATCCATGAACAAGCTGAATTTTCACAAAGGGATCTGACAAAGAGACACAAAACACAAGCTCCGTGTTATGGGTGTCGTGAGTCAGTCCCCCAGTCTGTGATGGGTGATGGTTGGGCACTGCAGGGATGGACCATGCTGGAGAACAGCATCTGGAAATGACTGGGACTTGTTCTGCCACGCTCTCCTCAGGGCTTTTTAGCGGAGACAAAAGTCAGGCAGCTGGATTAAAAACACTCCCTGCCAAAACCACAATGACAGCCTTGATAGAAGCCAAGCATACTGTTCTTTATGGAAAAAGCCAAACTTCTGACAGCACCAGTGGCTGACACAGGGAACATGGGAAAAACACCTGAGGACATCTGCATGAAGCAATTACTAGCCAGCCTGCTCAGAAATGGCAGGGAGCAATGCATGGACACTGGAAAAACCTCACACCATCCACAGAGCAGGTAGAGGTCATAAATGAAGCCCCTGCAACATCAATATTCAAGCAGCATCTGCAAAACACGGTGTAGCCACAAACAAGCTGCCCTACAGAGCACAACACCAGGGTAATTTAGAGCTCTTGGTTCCTCACCTCACCCTGGTTCAGAGATTTTTCCTTCAAATAAGGCAAACACATTCATCCTCTCCATTTAATCTCAGGGCAAGTGTTCCAAATAATTTTGTTGTTGTTGGCTAGATATATCAAATCTGGAGCCTTGTATTAATAGGAACTGAGCTTCCAAATCCCTCTGGGTCCCACAGAAATTGCGGCCTCAGCACCGATCTGCTTTAAAAGCACAGATCATCTGTGCATGAGTAACGTGAGAAATGCACTGCCCTTACCTGAACCTTGGCTCATGTCTGTCTGAAGGAGCTGTTTTGCTCTAATGATGTCCACATTCAGTCTTCCTGCACTGGGTAGGTAGTTCAGTGACAACAGCAGCTCTCCCAGTTCCACTTCATTCTGCAGGGAAAAGGGAGTGTGGAAATTCAGAACAGAGCTTGGAGGGGAAGGAAAGAGCAGGAAGAGAAATTAAGTAAGTCCCATTTGTCTAAGTGCCTGAAAAATAAATTTTAGTCATGCTCCAAACAGCAACCATGAACCATCTGGTGGCACCTCATGCGGAGCAGAAACAAGAAAGAACACTATCCCCAGGTAAAGATTGTTCTTTAATTGCCCATCTTTCAGCAGCTTTTCAGCAGTCATGCAAAGAGGACCTGTAAGGTGGAATGAAGACAAGGTCAATAGTTTCCACCTGCTCCCTTTTGAACGGTTCCAGGTGGTTCTGATCTTACCAACCTCACAACCTTATTAATGTACAAAACACAGACCCATTGGAGAAGACATCCTCTTTCCTTCCCAGCCCCCAAGGACCACAGTGGCCACTGGGGAAGTTCAGGCACGAGGTGGGTAATGCATCCCTGGGTCACAGGAAGGCAATTCAGAGGATACATCCCCTCTGCACCTGGCCATTCTACCCAGGGACCACAACACAGCTTAACTGTGCCCTTGCTCTTCACCAGGCTGTGCCACGGCCACAGCTTCACATCAGTAGAGCCGTTCAGCCATTACTTATTTTCCTGTTACTTAAAACTAGTAATTAAAAACACTGCTCCTTGAGGTGTGACAGCTTAAAAACACCTCTTCCCCCTAGCACAACCTGGCTTCCAGCTGCTGTTGCTCGCAGATGCAAGATACACACCATGGAACAACTCTAGAGACTTAAAATACACCAGCCAGTCCGAACAGGGCATTGATCCACCTGCCTCATCACAGGTCCATGCAGGAGTGCAGAGCCAGTTCTTCAACCCCAATAGCCAAACAGTTCAAAACCGAGCCTAGATTGGATGGTCACAGCCCTTTCCCAGAAGGAGAAGGAGCTGCAGTGGTATTGCAATCATAACAAAAGGCTTGAATATCTTTATTAATGCCCCAAATATTTGATTGCAGAAATCAGAGACCAAAGGACAGAATAGACAATAAACAAAAAGCTCTGAGACACAGTCACAGCCTGAATTGACCTAAAGAACCAAGACCATCAGCACATGAGGTACCCAACCCCAGCAAAGCTGTCAGTGGCTCTGGGGAAACTGAGGCTAGGGATGCCAGGAAAACCACCCAGCTCATGACTGTTCAGCTGCAACTGGAAAAGCAGAGTTGCCACTGAGCACAGATGAACCAGAGGGTTTGGACTGAAGCTGAGGAAGCAGCCAGGGAAAAGCTCCATCCCTCTGGCAGGAACAGCACAGCACCTCCTGCCTGGCTGGCCAGCAGCACAGAATGACTCCTGCTACAGGCAGGCCACTCAGCTCCTCACCTAAGGAGCCCAGTGCTAAACCTGACATCAGGTAATAGCATTAAAAGTTTTCCCTGAGGCACCGTCTCCTCCCCTGTCCCTGTGGAAGGCAGCAGGACGTGGGTGGCATGCAGGAGCAGGCAGCAGGCTGAGGAAGTCCTGCACCTCAGATGGCACATAATACCATCCAATTTAATACAACATCCGTTTTTTTGCTTTCCACAGAAAATACTGCTATAGGCTGCCTGACTTCCCATCAAAGGTCTCTGCATTTCAGGAGATGGCAAAGCAGCCCCTCTGCTTTAACCCCACACGTCCAACGAGCAAGGGACAAGGGCAGCACCGTGTGGGGAGCAGGCGAAGGCTGCCAGGGGGGCAGCACCCCCACTCAGCCCCTGGGCAGAAAGTGTGGATCCACCCCACAGCTCCCAAGGCAATCCCACGTGCCTTCCTCACGCACTGCGCTGCCCCAGGAGCTAGATCCAGAGCCAGCCTGGCAGCATCCACCACAAAGTGGCTCACCCTCTGCCTGACCTTCCCACAGCCCCTCTCCCCATGAGAAAAAACTTCTGATGCCTTATCCCAGACTCTTTGTCACAGCCAGCATCTTTTGGATCACACAAAGTGGCAGTATATGACTACACAGCACACTCACTCACATTCACCACACGCATTTCCTTCTGTTGCTACAGTACTTCTGCTTCACTGAGAAGGCACCTCTCTTCTGTCAGCCTTTGCCAACGCCCATACCACAGTTTTCTTCAATATATGATTTTTTAAGTTCTTTTCCATCAGAAAGCCATTCCCCAGCAGAAACCTGAGCCAATATACACACAGGACATTCATGACTTTAGCAAGGTCAGGTCACACCCACATACACCTTTGTGCCCAACGGCTGCACAGTGTACGGATCTAAGAGTGTCTCACATTCAAGGTGATTTAAATGTCACCTATCTAATTTAAACTGTCCTCTTTGGTCTGATTTTCCCCAAAACCATTCCTGTCAGGCCTGTGGCTGGAACAGCCCGAAGACACGTTTATCATCAAGAACAGTCAGTGACTCCTAAATCTATTACCAGAACAGTAATGAAGCACCACAGCACCCACAACAGGATCCACCTGAGGTACCTCTTGACCCTAGCTCATTTTTTTTATAATACATCAAAATTTTTTAACATATTCAGTCCTATTTCCACTTGCATTCACCACTATGTCCGGTTCCATGCAGGCTTTAATTCCTAGAAATTCAGGCACATTTGGACAGCACAAATTAGGAAAATAATTAGTGATGTTATAGACTGCTGGGAAAGGACAATCAAACAGCTCTGGCTGCAAATACCAAGCTTCAGGCACAGCCAAGAGGCAGACTGGCACTGGGCAGGAACAGAGGACCTGTCAGATCACCTCAAGCTTAGAGTGCTGAAAAGCCACGTTAAGATTTGGGGTAATTACTTTTGAATTTGTCCATTGGTGGAACCTCTAGACCTTATCCAAGACCTGCAGGAACTAAGGGCTTTCCTAGGCCAGGGAGGAGCAGTGAGGCTCAGCAAGGGATGGCAGACCTCCACACTTCCAGCACATTTATGTTTATGCCCCGTTTTAAAAAAGTTGCCCCACAATGTACACTGACCATATCAGATTGGGTATGTTACATGCACCGAGGCACTGGCAGGAGAACCAAGCATCTACTCCCACCTGAACCCTCCCATGGTGCCCATAACCTCTGCAGAAGTTACTGAATAATGTAACCACCACACTGCTGTGTAACCCATGAGCCTTAGACAGGCATGGCTAAATCCCTGATTTTCAGTAGGACCTAACCTAACAGGGATATTGGCACCTCTAGAAAAATCTTGTTTACTATCTGGGCTTAAAATTGAGTAAGGTGAGGAATAAAATGCTATGCTCTAAGTGTGATCCACAGAAGTCAGAAGACAGACTACCACCAGCTTTAATGAGTCCCAGATCAGGCCTAATTTCCCAAATCTCAATAGCACCTTCTGTCCCTTAGTTCTTTTCAAACTTGTCCAGATTTCTGTTAATTATTTTAAGGGAATGAACATACAATTCATCCCACAGAGGCCATGGTAGGATGGGTGTGCTCAAAGCTAGCAGGAACGCAGCAGTCCTATCATAGCAGAGCACCAGCAGTGCTTGCAGCCACAACAAAAAGTGTTTTAAGAAGGAAACCCAGTTCCCTGGCTAGCTCACCTCCCCCTACAAGTGACTCAGCCTTTTCAAGACACTTAACTTGAGCAGTGAGCTGCCTCTGATCTTATAAACGCATTATTTCCAGCTTAGCTGCAAGATCTAGGAAACAGGCTTCAAATCCTGCCACGGTGCCTGAGGGGACATCAAGCATTTGAGAAAAAGAATCAGTGGCCAGCAGTCACCACATGTTCCTCCCCAGCACTGCCTCCACCATACTCTACCATGCTCACTAGCTTTCTTCTGTTCTTTGGTCGCCTGTCATCATTAGCAAGCAAGCAAGGAATTAGCAGGTTGCTCCAAGAGGCCCGAGGTACACGGCATACCTCCTCAGGGTTTAGTTCTCCGTGCTTTCCCCAGCAAGCTCACACCATGGTGTACCTTTGCTAATGTGACAGTCTTGCTAATAAGACATGCTGGTGGCACAGTTTGTCAGAGATGAAGATGAGGATGCAGAGAGAGCTGCAGCTTAACAGACCGGCTGGCTCAGTGAGCAAGTTGGAGATAACTGGGGAGCACAGGGGGGTCCGCTGAGAGATGGAGAAAGAGGATCCTTGTTCCTGGTCAGGCAGGAGACTAGGCTCAGGGAGGGAGAAGTGGACACAGAGGTCTCAGGTGACTCGTGGGGCCATTGGAGGTGCCCAGGGTGCTCCTCCACAGACCCACCGAGCCCACTTGCACCTTGGAAACTCAGTGTTGCCATAACCATTGACCCCCCATGACCATCAACTTGTTTCCTGGCATTTCCATCAGCAAAGATGTGTTAGGAGGCATCCCGGCAGGGCCTGCAGGCACAGAGCCTTGGCTTTTGCTCCCTCACACTGAGGCCTGCCCAGCTGCGCTGAGAAGAGGGACGCCATGTTACGCACAAGAGGCGTCACTGACAGTGGGGAAATGAAGTGCCTGAATTTTACTTTTCCTAGGTCTTTTTGTCAGGCAACTGAAGTGCTGTTGGTTTTGCCTTGAATGGTGTTGTTGACCCGAGGCAGCGTGCCGAGGTGCCGCAGAGCCCATGCAAAGGCCTCGGTCCAGTGGCTG